TTTGAGACAGGGTAGCCCTGGCTGTCCTGGAACTTGCTCTCTAGACCAGACTGGCCTTGAACTCATAGAGATTCACCTGCCTCTGTCTCCCAAGTGCTGGGATCACAGGTGTGTGCCACCACCGAGGGGCTTAGTTTTACCTATCCTATTGATCCAAGAGTTAATGACATTTAGACTAGAGGATTCAGTATGATTTTGAATCTGTTAAGATTATTTTGAGGTCTAGTATATGCTCAATTTTTAAATATATTCCATGTGTAACTAAAAGGAATAAATGTCACCTAATTGTTGGATAAATGCACATTGGATTAATCATGTTGTTTTCAAATCTCTTGTATCATTACTATATTATATCTGCTTGACAAATACTGAGAGAGATGTGTTAACATTATTTGCCAGTTTCTCCTTTCAGAGCTAGAAACTTTACAATGATATACACTGAAGTCAAATTCAGTTAGAAGAGTACATGCTTAAAAGTTTAACATGGCAAAGAGAAACCCTATCTCAAAAAAGCCAGAAAAAAAAAGTTTAACATGGACTGGAGAGATGGCTCAGTGGTCAGGACAGCTTGCTGCTCCTCCAAAGAACCTGACTTTATTTCTCAGCACCCACATTAGTTGGCTCACAAGTACCTGCCATCCAGCTCCAGGGGATTTGATGCCTTTTTCTGGTCTCTGAGCACCTATACAAGTACACATAAATAAAAATAAAATCCTTTTAAAGTGAAAGTTTAATATTTTGAGTTACAAATGATAACATGCACCTATAATCCCAGCATTCAAGAAGTTGAGGCAGGAGGATCCCTAATTTTAGGCCAATATGAGCAACACAGTGAGACCATGTTTCATAAATAAATTAAATTTGGATTTACTGTTGTTTCATAACTTTTATTTGCTTTTCCTTTTCTTCCATATATAGTTCTTTTAGTTATTTGAATAATTGTTTCCATTCTTACTTTGTAACAACATGTTTTATTGCTACTTTTTAAATTAAAAACATTATTTGAATTTGAGGAGGAAAATTAATTTTTTTTTTGTTTTTGTTTTTCAAGACAGGGTTTCTCTGTGTAGTTTTGGTGCCTTTCCTGGATCTCACTCTGTAGACCAGGCTGGCCTTGAACTCACAGAGATCCGCCTGGCTCTGCCTCACAAGTGCTGGAATTAAAGATGTGTTCCACTGCCACCCAGCAAACTAATCATCTTAAATAGTCAAAAATGTAATATATTATTAGTAGTCTCTTCTTTTACTATCATACAATTACTTTATCTCTGATGATTTTTATTTCCATAGTTTACAACCTCTATGAATTTAGTTACAATGTCTTTCTAATTCTATTTGGCTGATATATTTTTAACATACTCTGTGTTTTTACACTGTCTTTATGTTTCATAAATATCTCCATAAGTCCCACACAGATATATGATATTCTCAGATAATATGTAATAAGCAACAGTATATCTGCGTTTTTCAGCATTATATCTACATAATCATTCTGTTTTGTGTGTTCTGATGAGCTGCTTTTTTCTTTTTTTTTAAAGATTTATTTATTTATTTATTTATTTATTTATTTATTTATTATGTATACAATGTTCTGTTTGCATGTATTTCTGCAGGCCAGAAGAGGGAGCCAGATCTCATTACAGATGGTTGTGAGCCACCATGTGGTTGCTGGGAATTGAACTCAGGACCTCTGGAAGAACAGCCAGTGTTTTTAACCTCTGAGCTATCTCTCCAGCCCATGCTTCTTTCTTTTTTTAATCTTTTTATTGATTGTTTGTGGTGCTGTTTCTCTTGTTCATTCACTCTTTCCTTTGGGTTCACTGGGCTACTGTGTGTTTTAATTTTGGTTTTTCTGACTGATACTTCTAAGACAAAGTTGAAGGAATGTGGTAAAAATGGGCATCCTGCTCTTTTTGCAGATCTTAGGAAGAAGATGTTGGTGGTTCACATCTGGTACCATGTCAGCTGTGGGCTTCTTTATGGCCTCTCTCTGCCATCAACCTATACTTAATTTGTTCAGAGTTTTTCTCATAAAAACTGTTGAATTCTAAGGAATGTCTTTCTACATCTATTGAGATGACCACATGGTTTTTATGCATCATTCTGCTAACGTGAGGTATCACAATTATGGATTTATATTGAACCTTCCTTGTACCATGTGATTAATAGATCACGACATCTCATCCTCCTGTGCCCTATTGGTTGGGGATTGCTAGGGTTCTGTTTAGATTTTTTTTTTTTAATCCAAGAATACTTGTCCACAGCTTTCATTTTGGGGGTGTTATCTGATTTTGTTGCCAGATAATTTTGTCTTTATAGAATATATTTGGAGGAAAGAATTTCTTCCACTTTGATAAGAACTGGCATCAAAAAAAAAAAGAATTGGCATCAATTCTGAAAAGTTGAATAAAAATTTAGCAATGCGTCTGTCTGGTCCTGGGCTTTTCCATGTTGAGAGATCTTTTTTACCCATTCAATGTTGTTTGGGGGGAAAGTCTCTCTTCTCTCTCAATCTTCTTCTTCTTCTTCTTCTTCTTCTTCTTCTTCTTCTTCTTCTTCTTCTTCTTCTTCTTCTTCTTCTTCTTCTTCTT